AGCGCGCGGGTGATCACAGAGAAGTGGCGTGAACCCCCAAGGGCAAGACAAGCATTGCACCGAGGCACAGGGCGGGGGGAAGGCCTGTGAGGCCTGCCGGTGTGAGGCAGGGGCAGACCCCGCAGCACTCGGCCTTGCACCCAAGAACGCCAGCGGTGGTCAGCGAGAGGGCTAGATGTGGAAGGAGCAAGTGCTGGGCTTTTCGTTGTGCCTGAGAAACCAGTCTGCAGGCTCAAAAGACAGAGTCGAGACACCACCGCATTAGACAGTGCCTTAGTAAACACAGAGAAGTGAGGCAACCATTTAGGATCTGGAACCCAAAAATCTTGAGAAAAAAAAAGGAAAAAACAAACCACAGAGCTAAGAGAGGTTAGAGAGCCCCAACATTACACTGTGTTTCTTCAGCCCCTGGGCTTGTTTCTACCTGTACCTTCACAGTCACAGAATGCCATTGCTTGTGCTGGCATGGAAGGGTGATGCGTTTCTCAGGTGCAGGTTTCTCCATGAAGCAAAAATGAATCAAAGGAAAGTTGTTTGAAACCTGGCAGCCTGCAGGCCAACATGTGGCTGGGGGAGAACTCTGCTGCGGTGAATGCAGGCAGCATCCAGTAGAAGGGTCTTTAGCAGGCTTAATGCCCTTCCCTTTCTACGAACCGCTGTTAGTCAGCACTCTGAACTCATTTTGTTCTGTTCACGTGCTATTCTTCCTTTACAACTTCAGTGAAGTATCTGGGCCCAGACTGGGGAATACCCCAAGAGATTGTTTGCAATGATGGATATCCTATACCTGGCTGGGATGCTAAATTCACATTAAAGTAATTCGCATGCATAATTTCTTTCCAGTTCACACCATCACCAAGAAGCCTGTGTCTTGGCATGATAATATAGAAGAGCCAGCAGATGGTAAGAAACCTCTGAACAGCTTGTGATAATTACATAAAAAAAATGACAAATAAATAAGATTTTAAAATGCCAATTAGCCTAAAAGATGCCATATGTTGAAACACCCCTGTGACAATATAAGAAAGTTAAACCCATTCATGATTTTTGTTAAACATAAAGCAATTTTTTTTCCACTTTAAGGCCCTTTCCCATTACTCTTCACTATCAGTACAAGCTTGCATTCATGCAATTATGCTTTTATTTTCGCCTTCAGATGTCATACTGTAAAATTCTGCTTGAGAATCTAAATGTCTTCCGGGGGGGGAAAAAAAAAAATCTAGAAACATGTTTCATACATACACATTACCTGTCACTACAGATTTTACCTAGCCACCACATATGGTAAACCACTGGAGTGGCTGCTGAGTCTTGCTTTAGAGCAGTAATAACAGGAATCCTTGTAGCAACTGCTCCCATATTTCTCACACGCCAATTTTGCCTAAAAAAAAAAAGCCTTAATGATCAGTTAAGGTTGGCCTGCTCTAGTCAAGGACTGGGGGGGGGATGGAGGACACCAAAACCGGGAAAGGCAGCAGGTCTCAAGCAACTGAGAAAGATGACAGCTAACGTGAAGTACTGGTTGATACTAGGTATGGCAGAAGAAAAGTAAGATGCTGCAATACAGGAGACAAGGATGTCAGAATCAACAGGACAGTACAGGCATGCAAATCTGGAAACTTCATCAGGACAAATTTGAGCAGAAATGTCACCCTGCGTTCTCTTTCAAGTTCATTCACAGAAGTTGCTTCCAACCTTGGCTTTCTTGGTATTGCTTGGACAAGTGTTAGGAAGTTCCATTTTAATATACATCCGCATTTCTGTAATTTCTATTTCTGTCTCTTAAACCAACAGCCAATTTTCTGAATCTTATTCACCATGCAGCACTGGAGCCAACAAAGAAATATGCAGAGCCACAAACCGAAAGCCAAGAAATTGGCTGGAACACAACACCTTTGGTGAGTACAGTGCTTAACGACTCAGCTCTTTGCAGGATTCAGAGAGGTTCAGCCCATCACACTGACAGATATTCATACAAGAAAATAATTTGTGACAAATATGGAAACTAGGAATGAGCAGAGCTGCTCATGAACAAGTTTCTAAAATTTACACCTAAAAGAACTCTTCACACTGGCGGAGGCTTGTGAACACAGCAACAGTAGACTTCCCCTGAGAAGTCTGCATGCAAAATACCTACAATGACAGTTGACCCCAAGCATATCGCCAAATGCCACATACGTAGTCATAGCTTTTTATTAAAGCATTCAGCCATGACAGGTGGCATACCGAGCAGTGTGAAGTGACACGCAGAAGTACTGTGAAAAGAAATGTGCTGCTGTACAGTACCTTTCAAACAAATTGCAAGCAGAACCATAAAATTAATAATCAGCTAAGTAAACCCGAGGCTGAATACACCAGTGAGGATTCATTTGGGGAAGCATGAATAAACAGGAGGAATAGAAATCTTATTAACAAGCTGAGACATCAATCATATCTGACAGACAAACAGCCGTGATGATGACTGACTTTGTAGATGAGTGTTTCAAGAAAGGCAAATGAAGGCCTGATTAATTTTGTCCTGTTACAAAGAAAACCAAGATAAATAAGATAAAACAGCCTTCTGCAACTTTTCATATTACACTTCAGGTAAACTAGTTACTCATAACAAGGCTAGAGACAGACATCCCAGCAGGGTTTTACACTGTTAGATACTACTGGTAGAATTAGACTGGCAGGAAAAAGGCAAGTAAATCTGTATGTAGCCTGATTAATTTTGTCCTGTTACAAAGAAAACCAAGATAAATAAGATAAAACAGCCTTCTGCAACTTTTCATATTACACTTCAGGTAAACTAGTTACTCATAACAAGGCTAGAGACAGACATCCCAGCAGGGTTTTACACTGTTAGATACTACTGGTAGAATTAGACTGGCAGGAAAAAGGCAAGTAAATCTGTATGTAGGATGCTGTTTCATAAGTTAAGTTTTCCCTTTTCACCAGGGTCTACCGTAACAAAGCAGTTAACAGTATATTCTCAGATAAGTGGTAGCCTACCTGTTTGTCATTTGGGCATTTCTCAGCTGGAAGATCACCGTGCGCTACTCTTCTCAGGAGGGACTACTACTACTACTAATTCTACTCAGAGCACATGACTATTCGTCATTTTTCTCTCCCAGATTCATGTGGACCGTACTGATTACAGACTCTACTTCCCACGCCGGAGTACCGAGATCACTAAATAAACAGTTGCCACGGTGCACAGGGAGGAGCAGCCTGAGAACCTGCAGCAATAGGGTGGCAAAGCCACACAACTTATAAGCAATTAATGACATCTAATGTGTTAGGCCCTGCTTGTTATTATGCGAGTGTAGTAGATTTCTGGCAAGAGAAAATAGCAAGAAAAGGGAAGAGAGAACCTCAGTCTGCCCAGATTTACAGCGTGACGATAGTTACAGAAATAAACCTATTTATAAGATTGCTGCATTTGCCTCACTGCTGTTCCCAAAACTCATCCACAGGAATAGTCTAAAAAATACTTCAACATCTTTACAGGCTTCAGGCTTCTCATTTTGACATCAGCAACATGACCCAGAACTGAAGGATATAGATTGGAGCGAGTCCAGAGGAGGCCATGAAAACGCTCTGAAGGCCGGAGCACCTCTGCTATGGGGATAGGCTGAGAGAGTTGGGGGTGTTCAGCCTGGAGAAGAGGAGGCTCCGGGGAGACCTTATAGCACCTTCCAGTACCTGAAGGGGCTACAAGGAAGCTGAGGGGGGGACTTTTTACAAGGGGCTGTAGGGACAGGACAAGGGGGAATGGGGTTAAAATGAAAGTGCAAAGATTTAGATTGGATATCAGGAAGACATTCTTCCCAGAGAGGGTGGTGAGGCACTGGAACAGGTTGCCCAGAGAAGCTGTGGATGCCCCATCCCTGGAAGTGTTCGAGGCCAGGCTGGATGAGGCTTGGAGCAACCTGGTCTAGTGGAAGGTGTCCCTGCCCATGGCAGGGGGGTTGGAACTGGATGGTCTTTAAGGTCCCTTCCAACCCAAACTGTTCTGTGACTCTATGATTCAAGTTCACCAAGTCAACAGCAGCTGTGGAAAAAGCCGTCTGAATGAAGGGAACAAAGGGCAGGCTTCAGCCACCATCCGTAACACAACTAAACATGAATTAGACATAGTGCTGTACAAACCATTTAATGTGTTCACACCCCAAAGGTTTAAGTAGAAAACAATCCTTCAACAAAACAGACAGCAAAAGGAAATTAGTGGTAAGGCACTAGTTTCCACTGACTTTTTTTCCTTGCCCCCTTGGAAGCATCCAGCTGGCTCCACAGTTAGCTGCTTGATGACAGCAGAAACATCTTGCAATGCACAGAAACATCGGTACCTCACTGCCCAGCACAGTCCTCTTATCGCGCTCGGCTCTTCATTTTCTGCCTTGCTCTCTTTCCAGGTCTCTTCTGTAAAACAAGGACAGATTTGTTCTACCTCTATATCTAGAGAGGATACTATATCTAGGGAGGATTCTAAGGAGAGGATATTTGTCATCACCTCTGGAGATAGAGGTTTTGGGACACAGGTAGCAACAAACACTACTTGCTAACTCCCACACTCATTTCCCTGCTCACACACTGAACCACCATCCTCAACTTGTCTGCAACCGAATTATGCTCAGCTCCCAAAAGACAGGCATTATCACTTCCAGTTGCTGGAAGCACCCACCACGTACTCAGCTCTTCCTCCCAGACCAGGGCTGGCTTCCTAGCCAACAAGGATCATTTGCATGCAACATTTTACTTACATTAAGGGCTTTTTTTCCTCCTTTTCCTGCTTTTCCTGGGCCTTTATTGTGAGCCACTTTTGACCGGAAGCTGGATACATCATTAAAACTCTCCTTTGTGTTCCACTTCGAGCCCTTTTTCTTCCCACCAAAACCAAACTTCTGATTCTTGTATCGTCTTTTGGCATTGGGTCTGAAAATCAACCAAACAGTATCACTGCCTATATTCCTTTCCTCAGCAAGCTCTCAAGAAGGCACATGTATCTGCCAATGGATTCCCAGCCATCATAAACATTTCCTCTTATTGAAGAGAAAAATCAGCACATTTCAGTCTCTCTTCCATTCTAGCCATAGTTTTTCTCTTCTCTAGGGACAGAAAGCCACCTCAGACTTGTTTTAATGAACAGAGAACAGCTTTCTCATTCCACAAAAAATGATCCCCTAAAAAACTGAAAAAAATCAGAGATTTTGCAGTCAAATATCTATCTTTTCTGGTCTCACCCCTTCTTTGTCCGTTGACTTGCACTGCCTTTTTTATTCCCCTGAGACAATGTCTGCTCTTCATCTAGGAAATCCAGCTTGTCAGAGAGACCTGCAGGAGCAAAGACATCACAGTTGCTCAGCTACCACCACAGAAAATATGAATTTTCAGTCCAAGCAAGTAATAGCAATATGTCACCCTCGCTGAAGAAGAGCTACTTGGGAGGATTTTCACTGTCACTGGCATGTGACTCTGCACAGCAGCAGCCTTTCAAGCTCACTGCCCAACACTACAGATTGACACCACACATCACACCACCTTACATTGTTCACGCATCATTATTCCCATCACACATTTGCTCTCTTAGACAAGCTGGCTTTACCTTTCTGGTATTTCTTGACTGCATTCAACATATTTTTTTTCTCCTTTTGTCTCCTCTGCAGAATCTCGGTTTGCACCTGAGATGAGAAGCAGAATGTTAGGTGTTGTTCCTTGGAGTGCCCCATGTTTTCCTTTTTCTTCCACACCTCCCCTCTCCAAGGCATCCCATCTTTTCCTCTAAGCAGCTAGACAGATTCCATTTATTTTATCCAGCCCCCTGTGGTCTCACTTTCCAAGCTTTTCACTCAGGCTCTAGATTCTTGTCAGAGATAGGTCCCTTATGTAGCTCCTCCTCACCTTCTTGCCATATTTTCTCATTGCACGGAGCTGTTTCGCTTTCTCAGACCTCTCCATTGCTTCTTGTTTACTCTTAAGCTTCTGACGAATCTTATTAGGGGATAGAAAAAAGATTTATCAGTAACACAAAAGAAAATATGAGAATTTTATGACTGCTGTGCAGTCCTGAAATCAAATAATGTGAACTATCCATGACGGTAAAAACAAAAACATCTCTCAATCAGATAATGCTTTGTAAGGCATAACGTTCTTTCAGCACAAGGCTGGAACAGTTATCACAGAAACTCCTCAACTGATCTGTAGCCAAAATCTGGTTAAAAAGAAAAGACTCACTGAGGAACAAGACAAAGCCTTATAATAGGCTCTAACGGAACCACTAAACAAGATTATCTTCTCACATTTTGTCAGTCTACTCAGGTGTATGTAGAAGACTTGATAGTATCTTTCTTGTCATTATTAAAAGTAAAGCACTGAAGGAGAGTCAACAATCCTTCCATGCCATAGAAAACATCTCTTTCGTTCGATCCTTGTTCACAAATACTTCTATAAGGATGCCACGTTACCAGGGATTACAAAGATTTTGACACTGTTCATCTGGATTCAGTCTGTGACTCCACTGGGAGATAAAAACTCTGTTCTTCAAACAGAAGCCAGCAAAATAAGGTGACAGGGGTGTGTAGAACTGACTTGAACCTCAGCACAAACTACTTATTAAGCTTCATCTTCTCTAGGAAGATTCTATCAGCTATCAAAACGGTGACGAAGTCATACATGAACCTCCAAATTAGACTCCAGCTCATGTCTAACTTACACAATGTAGGGTTTTTTTCCAAAACTACAACTAAAATTAGGGTTCTATTTTGAACAAATACCACAATCAAGAAGCAAGTTTGTGAACTTCATATTTCCTACACAAACCTGACTTACTTCCCATGACAGATTAATTCAATAACACAGTTTAAAACCACAGAGTGCAAACGAAGGGTGATATTTAAATAGGGATAAAGGATCATGTTAATGCCACAGTTGAGTACAAGTCTTAGGACAAAGAGTATAAACATAGCCAACGTTCCAAACACTGTCACACATGTGGACAAAAAAGTCACCTTTTTAAATATTAAATACATTTAGGACAGAATATAAATCGTGCTTTTCTACTTTACATTCCAATCTGTTATGGAAATTCCCACACTACCCTGAAATACCTAAACAGGAATAAATTTCCTGCCACAAACAAAATTTCAAACACAAACACTGTCACAGGCGTTTGTCAAAGAGATGATATTAAGTATTCACACGTCACACCTTAAAGTTAATCCCTAACACAGGCTAAAACCAAGACATAACACAGGAAAGCAAGCCATTATTCACTACACATACCTTCTGCATCTGTTGGTCTGACTTGGCCATCTCTGCAAAGTAATCATCTGGCCTTCTAGTAGGAACTTGGAGCTTACGCAACCTGGGTAGGGCTTCCAGGACAGCTTCCTGAGCCTGCCGGTAACTAGGGAGAGAGCACAGCACCAGCTCTGTCACTGGCTATCAGGCAGCTCACAGAAACTCTGCTCACATTAGCTAGCTGATACTGGGATCTAACAAGCACTGATCTCGAATTTATATCAACGTGCTGTGCCCTACAGCATTCAGTGCCACTAAATGCAATTTAGGTACCACTTCAATATAAACACTTATGTCTTGCACACATACATTTACCTAGCTTTGAGTTAGTTTTATATATTGGATTATAAATGGCAAGGCAAAACAAGAGAACTGTACTAACACCAAAACAAATACAAAAGAAAAATCCATATCCTGTGCTAGAGCCATAGTGCTGCAACCACGGAACTTTTCCAAATAAACTTTTCGGCAAGTCTGCTGCAAGGAGGGACACTCCTTTCCATCACAAGACAAGTTAAATATACTAGCACTAATTTGTAGCTATTTGGGAAAACATTCAGAGCCATCAAATGTAAAATACATGGCCCAAGAGTGCCAGTGACAGCCAGTGTGGCAGCCAGCAGCACACCTGTGAAACACGACTCCAAGCACGCAGCACTATGAGAGACTTTACACTTTGACACTTACAAGCTCATCTCCCTCTGGAAATCATTCTCAGGGTCAACCGCATCTTTGCTAGAAGCACTCTGTGAGACGGGACCCACGACCTGGCCCGAAGTCACATCCAGCCTTTCCACCCAAGCTAGCTGCTGCCTGAATTCGGACAGGCACTGCTTCAGGCCGTTCTGTGAAAGAAACACATCCCTGCACACCACCACACAGGACCTCCTCCCCACGGCCGGCCCGGCAGAATGGCCAGCTCACACCGTGGGCT